CAATAGATAATAATGATAAGATCAGAAGGTTGTGTTCAGAGATGAACACTATCGAGCACGTGTGGTTCGTCTTTTTGTGGCCAGGCCAATCATCGGAGATGAACACTATGGATTATCTGTGGTTCCTTCTTGATCTTTCCATAGGAAAGCGTGTGTATCACCAACTCAATTTCTATTCACATTCTTCATCAGGAGTGGAGTATCTTCACACTAAATCTTACAAATACAATGTCTACCTGCGTTTTTGTCTTGAATATTACAAAGAACTGATCCACTAAATACTAATAGTAATATTGTACTTTCGGCTACGTGTTTTGTTTATTTTATCAAACGTTATATTTTCTGAAGTGGGTGTCCACTTACTTGTTGGTAGACTGTGTATACGTTCATTTTCTATTTTTGTTGCGCATTAGTTAAATAATTAAAATATTTCTAAATTAAAGATGAACCACAAGTAAGATATATAGGAGTTTTAATATCAAGACATCCATTAAATGAAATCAGATTAATTCCGTCATTATGCACGCCTATGCAAGTCTAAAGCAATTCGTGATGAAATATTGTTATTTATAAAACGACGTTATTTTGGCTCTGACAATGTCCTAAAAATTCCTATATTGTTAAAGTCATCTGATTTAGATTACATTGTTTAACGTAAGGGAACTGAAAGTTATATTAGGTACAGTTTACCGCTATAAGGACCTTAGTCTCGTGGTAAAATAAATACAATGACCGATTGAAATTCGTATTTATTTTGAGTATCCTAAACAACTTGTCTACTGGATTATTTACAATAACAAATTATTAACATCAATGTTACATATTCTTCAAAAACTGTAAAAATACTATATGATCTGAGCAATCTGTATGGGTATGTCTTTCTATATATATATACATAAATATAGATCAGTTTTCAGAATAAAGTTACAAGACATATTTACACGGGAATAACAAAACCTAGTCTCCCGAGTATCGTGAATACAAAAATACTTAGTTTATATTTGTCAGATCAGTTTTCAGAATAAAGTTACAAGACATATTTACACGGGAATAACAAAACCTAGTCTCCCGAGTATCGTGAATAGAAAAATACTTAGTTTATATTATTCAGATCAGTTTTCAGAATAAAGTTACAAGACATATTTACACGGGAATAACAAAACCTAGTCTCCCGAGTATCGTGAATACAAAAATACTTAGTTTATATTTGTCAGATCAGTTTTCAGAATAAAGTTACAAGACATATTTACACGGGAATAACAAAACCTAGTCTCCCGAGTATCGTGAATACAAAATAACTGTTTTTATGAAGTCTATAAAGTAACTCGTTCACCGTCCAGATGCAAAACGAGCACTAAGAAAGAATACGTTTCCCGAATATCATATTGATAACTGACTGAAAGTTAAATGTAAAGCTAACTAATTATGACTCGATAAATAAGATCTAAAACCTTTTTTATCTTACAAAATGATAAACTAACTCGATATTTTCAAAATAATGTTCTTTTTTATTGTATTATGCAATAATCATAGAATAAAAGCCTAACCATACATAACAAAATTGTTGTTTTTAGAGCTATAATATAACATCTCGTTTACACATAACAATTAGATTAATAATAATTTGTTACACATAAAAATTAGGTTACACATAACAGTTTGGTTACTTATAATAATTTGTTACACATAAAAATTCGGTTATACATAACAGTTTGGTTACTTATAATAATTTGATTGCACATAACAATTTGGTTACACATAACAGTTTGATTACTTATAATAATTTGGTTGCACATAAGAATTCGGTTACACATAACAATAACTCAACATGGCTGGTGGATGTAGTAGCTCCAAATTATCTGTACTAGAAGTTAGAACGTTTGGTCAACCCATCATAACGCAGATTACTATTTGAAAGCTCCCCTCTCCCAGTAGCACTGCGGTATGTCTGCAGATTTATAAGCTAGAAACCGGGTTTCGAAACCCGTGGTGGGCAGAGCACAGATAGGCCTTTGTGTAGCTTTGTGCTTAATAACAAACAACAACAACTATTTCGAAGGCCGAAAGCATCTTATATTGCATTAGAAAAGAGTGGGATAGTCTTTCAAACAAAATTATAACTTACATACAAGTATCTTATTGCACAATTACAACGTTTTTCTTCTTCAGTTGTGCAGCATCATTGAACAGTAGTTTTATCTGTCGATACACATTTTAAAAAATATATGAAGGAAATACCTGATGTTAAGCCTACTTACCCTTTCCTTCTTTGTTCACCTGTGATAAGAAGCTGTGTAAACAACTGTTTCTCCACTTGATCTGCAGGTAATAACGATGTTTAACAAACTGTTAGATATCGCTTGTAGCACTTTCCTAGCCGAGATCACGTGTCGGAGCAGGCGCTCTGTCCTCATTTCATAGTAACCAATAATGTTGAAATATATATATGCTTATATACTTGTTCATATTATTATATTCTGTATGAGATCATTATGTATTTCTCATCATGCTCTTTGGCTCAAAGTTCTGTAGAGTATATTATAATCTAGAGGCATATACAGACTTGATTTTGATTGGTTGATATGTTTTGATATGAATAAAAGCTCTGAAATTGCAATACTGTAAAATCTAAGCTACAAACGACGGTGTAAATATTTGTTTATCTGTTTGGAATTAAGCACAAAGCTTCACAATGGGCTATCTGTGCTCTGCCCACAGTATAAGTTATGTACATTTGTAAATATACATTTAATTTAGACACACATTGATATTAAAATAACGGTATAATAATAAATCCGTCACACGCTTTAATCGGCTCTTTGGACCGGATAACAAGATTGACTGTCTCTCTTCTAACGTGCCTACTGTTGAAAGTACGGCGCATGTTCAAAGGCATCACGTCTTAAAATCCGAAACCGAGATCCGCAGCTCGGCACCCTCACCACTAGGACATGTACGATCCAGTATATTAACTAACGGTTTCAGTATTGTTAGTAGGAGTACATTTTATTAAGTTACTTTTTGTTAAAAAATTGAATGAAGTAGTGGAGAATTATATAAAAAAGGCAGTAATTAAATAATCATCAGATTTCACTAGTTTCAACACACTAGTTTCCAAAACATTAGAGCCTCTCCCTTCCCCACTAAAAGATGTATATGTATATTTCATTTTCGCTCTGTTTCTTTCCATCTCGAAGTTTGAAAACACATGTAATAATTTCGATACATTAAACTTGTCACAAATGTTACCCAAAGTATGCTATATAGCTAAAAGTCTTTATTTATACATACTCTTTTCAAGTGAGGTTAACCAGATGTCTATTGAGGAGTTTTCTCACCTGCGTTTACCTTTCGAGTAGCCATACGTCATAAATGTTGATATTTGGTATAACCAACTTGAATGGTACCTTATGGGACACATGGGCTAAGTGACCAGGTCAGACACCCAAAAATTCAGGCATAAACGTCAGCCCGTCACTCTAAGCTCCAGGCTAAACCCAGCCAGACTAAATCACAGAATAAAGTTTATTGGAGTGAAACAATGTTTGTATATAATAAATATTTATCGTAATTGTAGAATGATAATATCAGAAGGTTGTGTATTGAGATAATAATGATAAGATCAGAAGGTTGTGTATTGTGATTGGCCTGACTACAAAAGGATGAACCACACGTGTTCGATAGTGTTCATCTTTGATGATTGGCCTGGCCACAAAAGGACGAACCATACGTGCTCGATAGTGTTTATCTCTAATGATTGGCCTGACTACAAAAGGATGAACCACACGTGTTCGATAGTGTTCATCTTTGATGATTGGCCTGGCCACAAAAGGACGAACCATACGTGCTCGATAGTGTTT